GAAAAAAACACACAGTAAACTGATAACAAGGGTGAGAGTGAGAAAGAGCAGGACTGGAGGAGGCGGGGTGATCAAAGAGATTTTAGGGCCGGCTGAGTGGCTCAGTTGGTTAAGAGTTAGCTTAAGAGTGTGAGCTCTGAGCAACAGGGCCGCCAGTTCAATTCCCACATGGGCCAGTGAGCTGCACCCGAGCTAAGCTGCCTCTGAGCTGCCAACAGGTGACAGGATGGTTCAGCTGGTGAGAGCACGTGCTCCTAACAACAAGGTTGCCCGTTCAAGATAGTGGGCTATGCCCACCCGCAACTAAGACTGAACTTGGCACATTGAGCTGAGCTGCCACCCAGATGGCTCAGTGGATACAACATGTGCTCTTAACAACAAGGTTGCCGGTTTGACTCCCGCATGGGATGGTGACTACGCCCACCCACAACTAAGACTGAACACAGCACCTTGAACTTAGAGGCTACGAGCTGCTGATGGGCAGCCAGATGGCGACTGGTGCTCTCCACAACTAAGATTGAAGAACAACAACTTGGCTGGTCCCCTTCCCCAATTCCCCAATTAAAAAAACAACAAGATTTTAGCTTTATCTGTAACATTTCACCTTTTTTCAAGGAGAAAATATTTATATATAAATTTCTAAAGTTATTTTTAAAAAATTCTTGTTAAGTGAGAAAAGTGCTAGCGACAGAAGTATCAGAGCCACAAAGACAGATGGATTTAAGCAGTCAAAGGCTAAATAATGCTTATTCAAAAGGATTAAGTTATTTTTCCCAATTCTGATTTGGGCCACTGAAAACATAAGTTCTCTAGGACAAACATTCCTAGTAGTAAGACATTTTCAGGGAAACAAAAAAAGCAGAATACAATTCTTTCTTCACCAGTTGTCTTATCTGCAAGGAGTACTTAGAACAGCTTTAGAGAATGAAAAAATCCCCACAGATTCATTCTGGGAAAATAAAAACTTCAACACAAATAAAAAAGCACTACACAACACAAATGGACTCCACAGCAGGCTCTCTGGGGTACACAGCTCCTGCTGCAGGACCTCTGCGCTTGCTGTTCTCCCCAATGGCCATGTGCCTCTCACCCCCTCACATCCTGCAGGTCTCTGCTCCAATGCCACGTTCTCAGAGAGGCCTTCCCTGACCACACTCCTCTCTAGAATAGCAAGCACACTTGGTCCCCCTTCCCTCTACTATGCCTCATCTTTCTTCCAAGAGTACAGCTACCTGGCATATTATGTACTGATGATGTTTATGGGTTTACTTTCCCACCCAAATGTGAGCACAAGGGCAGGACTTCTGTCAGTTTCCTTCCCAGTTGTGTCCCCAGCACCTAGAACAGCACCCAGCACATAGCTGGAGTCCATGAGTACCTTTTGAAGGAATGGCTGAATGGGTTCCCCAAACTCTGCAGAAACTCCCCAGATCGGGGCTGAGAAAGGCGGGGGAGAGAAAAAGGGGCTCACCTCCACGTTCCAGACGTAGGAGCTGTGGAAGAGCTCCGACCACAACTTGCCTACTTGGTTGATGTCTTTGACATCCCAGATATAGATGCTGTGGTCCTTATACACGCAGGACAGCCACTGGTGAGTGGGATCGAAGGTCAGAGCCACTGTATCCGGGTAGACTGCTTCTGCCTTGCTGCAGAAGAGGAAGCTAAGAAGACAACACAGGGCATCAATCACCATTAAATGTCACTGTGGGCAGTGACAGCAGCCTGTGGCGATACTCGAGCTGTCTCATGCCTAGCAGTGCCACGGTGGTCCATCTCTCCTCCTCCAACTCCACTTCTCCCGCCTCCCTCTTCCTTTGCTTTGTTTCTAATACAGAGGTTATAAAATGGAAGCTTCCACTTGGCCCCTGAGAACATTTGAATTTTCGACTCTTGTTAACATTTTTCTCCCCTCATTTCACCCAACCCAAGCTCCATCCTCTCTGTCTGAGCACGAAAGGATAATAATGGGCACATACCTCAGGCCTTCTCTCTCGTGGGCCCCACCAACACATGATCTCTACGCAAGGAGGCGGCAGAGCCATCTCCTGGCCTGGGGCCTCCCTACAAAGGCTACAGTTTATTGAACACCTACTGTGTGCTGAGCCAAGAGCTTTAGCTGCACTGAATTCCTACAATCTCCATGAGAGGTAGGTACTATATTTTACAGATGAAGAAAGGGAAGTACAGGTTGATACAGTGACCTGCCTGAGGCCACACAGCACATAGCAGAAGCTGGCAGAGCTGGGCAGCCTAGCCACTACAACACACCACTGTCTGTGGGTTGCTTATCTACCCCTTTCCTTTGAGATACTCAATAGCCCCCTCCAGGCTCTTAAAAAAAGCACCCAGGAGGTAAGTGTCCAGCAATCTACAAAGAGGCAGCCCCAGCCATGCAGCACCCCCTGGTTAGGTAGCTCTCCTGTCCCCATAAAACTAACTTACAACAAAGGGAATATATGTTACAGCTTAGCTCTTCCACCCACTCTTGACATGGCAACCAGAGGATCCAATGCTCAAGGCCTGATCACGTAAAACCAATGCCTGAAACTCCCAATGGCTGCCCATGGACCCGAGAATGGACTACAAGCTCCTCCCACCAGATCCATCAATTTTCAGACCTGTATCCTTCCATCCTCCCATGGCACACTGGGCTCCAGCCACACAGCTCCTAGCTGTTCCGGCAACACTCCAAGCCTGTATGCTATCTCCTTAAGGCCTTTCCACTTGCTTCAGGACCCAGCTCTCCACACAGTGGCTCCTCATCAGAGAGGCCACCCAATCAATATAGCCCCAAGCCCCAGACACTCTCCTTCCTGAGTCCCTGCTTTATTTCACCAAAGCATTTATGACTATCTGAAATGATCTTGTGTACTTGTGTATGATTGAGCTCCCTCACTAGACTGAAGACTTCACAGTAGCAGAGATTTTGCTGCCTCATTATAGCTGTATCCTGTTTCCTGCCCAGGGCTGGCCAGTGTGGAAATAGATGGATATAAGCAGACAGACTCTGGCTGGGCCCCTCTCCCTCACCCTGCCGGGTAGTACCTGGAGTCCAGGCCCTGGGCCACATCCACTCCGAGGTAGTGTGGCTTGGGCAGGTTGGCGAGGTAGTGCAGGTTGTGGGCCTGGAAGATGCGAACTATTCCATCTGTGCAGCCGCAGAAGATGAGCTCCTGGCTGACACAGAGGCAGGAAGACAGGGAGACCTGTGGAGGTAAGGGAACCCAAGTGGACTTTGTGCTTTGTGTGTCTCAGTTCAGAGACATGGGGACTGACAGGACAGCCTTGGGCTTCCAGAGAAGCCTTATAGTTTCTTGGGCCTAAGAAGCCCATCTCAGCAAATTTTAAGATTTCTGGAACCAGGACATAGCATAAGGTCACTACTGAAGGAAACATGCCAGCAGGTAGACGGAAGCATCAGCTGGGACGGGGTTGTCATTGCTACCTATAGAAGAACTTAGCTATGGGCAGATAATATCTGTTCAGCAGACTGTGACTTCAGATAGGTCACTTGCAGGAACAGGATTGAATTTTAGGTTTAAATTTTATTTCCTGCTGTTTAAAAACAACTTCACAGAGATTATACTTCAAAGCAGCAGAGAAAAAAGTTACTATATACAGGAAGGACTGTCTATCCTGCCAGGACGTGCAGATAGAAGGGGCAGGAAGTGCCAGAACTCTGGATAGATTAGAGGAGTTTTTCGAAATCCACAGGGACTCAATTTATGAATCATTTAAGACCTGTGCTGAGAGGCTACACATCTACCTGTCAAAAGCTTCTGATGTGCTTGAAAGTTGCATGAATTCTATCAAGAGGATTCAAATGAGAAGGAAAAAAAAAAGATGTTTAACTGGCTAGGGAAGACAGATAAAACTCGGCATTCTTCCATATGCCTGATACCCTGCCATTAACCCTAAAGGTGAGCGCTGAAGTGGAGTCACAAGAGCAGGAATAGAAAAAGGAGGGAAAACCCAGATGCTCCTGCCGATAGCCAAATGGGCATCCAAATCTGGAAATGGAAAGACAGCTTGGACTCAAACCCTCGGATCCTGAAGAAAAGTGGTTCTGCCATTTATTGATATACCATCCTTTAGTTTAAAATGTTGTTTTTGGTATAGTCCTTTTTGACTGAAAATTATTAAGTCAGTGATACCTTAGATTAAAAACAACAACAACAACAACAACAACAAATGCAGTCCTACTAGCCAAGGTGCTCAAAGAAAAGAAATGTGAACTGAATCAAACAGTGATGGGAAAGCAATTGTAACCTTGACCCCCATTACAGGGTACCACTGTACTGAATGCCTTGCCTATATTATCTCATGTGACTCCCTTATCAACTCTGTGAGGTATGCAGCAGTATTTCCATTTTACAGTTGAGGAAACTGAGGCTCAGAGAGGGAAACTGATTCACTGGCACAGAAGCAGAACTTGAAGTCAAACCCAGAGCTGGTATGGTCAACAACCAGGCAGGGGCACTGCTGAGTGTCCCTGAAGACCATGTCATGGAAAGAGTGTTTCCCCCATTGCTAGCAGAGAGGGAAGGTGGGGTACCTTCAGGTTGATCCACTTCTCCAGCACCCTCTTCTCGTTGAACTGGCAGAGGAGGCCCGAGTAGGACACACAGAAGGTACTGCCTGCGATCTGGCCCCGGCCACAAGCCACACCACAGAAGACATTGTTGTGCAGCTCACCTAGGATGCCTGAGCGCCCTATGAGGGGCACCGTGCCCGTCACCTGGAGGCACAGCAGGGCACAGTGAGACAATGTCCACATGGCTTAGACCCCAACAAGGTCATGATAGGCTTCTCATGACCATAGGATACAACAAACTAAACAGGAGGACACTAAGAAACTCTTCCAAGTGGAGAAGAGAAGAAAAAACAAAACACACATTTCCAGGCTGAGTGGCTGGAAGGCAGGAGTCCAGAAACAAGGTCTGGCCCCATGTTCGGGGGAGGAGGGGAATGCGGTGGGGAGGTTTCCCAGCAGGGCCTGCCAGTCAGCACTTGGAGAGCAGGACAGAAGCAGAAGCCAGCCCTCCTCACCCCCACCAGAGGCCAGACAGCCTCTGAGACCACTGCCCCCAAATCTCAGGTAGAAAAATGAGGCCATGCTGCCCCTGGTGGTTACTTCCCAGGCCTGGATGGGGTGGCAGGGGCAAAAACTCACCTTTGTTTCAGTGGAGACTTCCAAGAACCAGAACCTCACATGCCGGTTCCCAACTGTGACAAAATAGCTGCTGTCCTCTGAGAAAGAGAGGGCGATGACCCTGCATGATACCTTGTTGGAGGCCACCACAACATCTTTCTGGAAGAATCAGTGCAGAGAAGTTCACGCCAGCACCCACCCACTGGACTACTGCTCTCAGCCTTTGCCCTCAGCCTTGTATCTTCCCGCTCTCCCCTGCTCCAAGTCTGTTTTCCTTGGGCCCTGCAGGGAGCTGCTTTATGGGAAAACCTATGTGTGGCACTCTTATCATTCCCACTACAAAGGAGACTGAGGCTTGGAAAGGTTCCTATGTGAGTAAGTTCCAGAGCTCTCCCCAAGAGTCCAAGCTCTACAGCCCACACATGGTGTTGGGGACAGCCACAGCTGGGAGGTAAGGACAACACAACCATGGCTGCCACAGATAGGGCTCTCACTCTGGGCCCTGCCGAGCCCTTCACAGGATAACTCATGGAATTCCCTCAATAGCCCTCTCAAGGAGGTGCTTCTCCTCCCACTCTGCCATGCTCAGAGGGAGGATGTCATGTGCTCAAGGTCACACAGCAGGTTAGGAACACAGCCAGGACTTGGTATCCACTTCTGTAGACTCCAAGTCCTCCCCTAGCTGTTCCAGAGTCCAGTCTTTGGACTCATTGAATTCTCATTGAATTCTCATTGGACTCAACTCAATGAATTCTCACAACTCAACCAGGTGGATGCTATTATATCCAGCTTACAGAGAGAAAACAAACCCACAGGAAGGTTAAGTCACTTGGTCAAGGTCACAACTGGTCAATATAAAAATAATTATATATTCCATAGTTGAGAACTCATCATATGCCCTACAATAAGTGCCTAGAACAGGGATCCACATGGAGTAGGTGCTCAATAAATATTTGCTGGATGAGTGAGCCCTCTATCGAGTTATCTCATTTAGCTGCCTGCCCACACACCCACCAGGCTCACCTTCCAGTCCCAGACGTTGAGTACCATGTCGTGCTGGTAGCCCATGGACACAATGTGCTTCATATTGGGAGAGAAGGCCACGCAGGCTACGCCGTACTTGTGGCCCAACATCTCTGCCACCTGACTCTTCTCATCCACATCCCAGATGCGCACAGCAGGTCTGTGCCCGTTCTGGGGAAGGTGGGGCCATGAAGTGCTGTTGGGTTCTAGCCCTGCACCAGGGGCTGGCAGGGCTGAAGTTGGCATTGCCCCAGGGTGTTCCCAAAAGCCACCTCCCCCATCTGCCATGAGGCTTTTCTGGCCCAGAAAGGAGCTATTCCATGGATTCCCCAGGCCCAGTAGGGTCAAAAGGAATGGCCCCCAATACCCCTCCCCGCTCACTCAATCATGACCACAACTCACCTCTCCCGTCACTATGTACTTCCCATCAGGGGAGAAGGCCAGAGCACTCAGAGACTTCCTGGGGACAAGGAAAGGGATTGATCACTGGTTCCACTGAAGGTGAGCAGCCAGTACTGTGCTCACAGCACTCTGCTTACTCCTCGCTCCGGCCAGGAGAGGTGAGCGCCAGCAGCTCCCACAGAGCCAGAGTTGCCTGTGTGCCCAGCACAGCACACAGTGTGCTCCTGCATTCCCTGCTGCCAGGAGAAAGGGGCAGTGGCACTGGGAAATGGGGTTCTGTAAAAGGTCCTTTCGTCCCTAAAACCCCAAGCCCAGATGGGGTAGACACTGAATGGAGACCCTCCTCCTTCTCCCTCTGCAGGGGTGGGCTCCCTAAGGCCCTGCCAGCCCTGTAACTGAGAAATTCAGATGCAGGAAACAGTGCAGATCTGGCCTAACTCTGGAGGTGGTGCCGAAGGGAGGATCCTGGCAGACATCACACTGAGACAGCTGCAGCACGGGCTCTACTGCTAACCGCTCAAGGTGTTCTGGAAAAACAACCGACATGTTTCTCCTTGATACTCCCAGCTAGCCCTCACAAAGACTGATTGACCAGACTAGTTTGCACGATTTTTGGCAGCAAGTCTCACTGTTCCCAGACTGTGTTGTTTTTTTCTCTCTCCTCTTTCTTTAAACCCTGTTTTTACCTCTGTTCCTTAACAGTCTAGTTATTGTCTCCTTCACATGAGTAAATTAGTGTGCAGGTAACTCTGAGCAAGTCTTTGACTATCTCATAGACCATATATCATCATCAACTCAGCCCTCTGGTGGCTTCCCATCGCTCCTACAGCAGCAGACAAGGTGAGCTAGCTGCCTACCCAATATCCACTTGCCTCTCCTTCCTCACTAACAGAATCCCAATTTTAATTGGGATGGCAGTGTCACTGGCGAGAGTACATTTCCTCACCTCTCTTGTAGCTACACAGGTACAGCCACATGACTTAGTCTGGCCAAAGAGAAGTGCTGTGTGCGATTTCCAGAAAAGCTTCTCAAAGGGAACTCTTTGCCCTGCTCCCCACTTGTTCCTCTTCTAAAAAGAGGACATGTCAGGGCCGGCCGAGTGGCGCGTTGGTTAAGCACTGGCTTGGGACGCCAGAGGGCCCCGGTTCGGATCCCACATGAGGGCCAGTGACACTGCCCTCTACAGCTAACATGCTGAACAACAGCTCAACCTGGAGCTGGGCTGCCGTGAGTCGCCAGCGACGGCGTAGGCTGCAGCCCCTGTGGCAGTGGGTTGCCATGGGCTACTGTGTGTGGCCAGCAGCCA